CTGGGAGCCACTGCCGAGAAGGCCCAGAGTCTTGTTTTTTCTTTCCGGGCCTCCCTCGGCATTAGGCTCCTCAGTCATCTCTCCTGGCTAGATCGAGTGATACGAGTAGATCTAGGTGGGAGGAGGCGTTCCGCCAAGTATTGAGGTCCTAAACCGTTTCGGGCTTTGTATGTGATCATTAGAACTTTGAAATCAACGCTGAATTGAATGGGCTGCCAAATCTAGATAACCTAGATTCATACTGCCAGGAAAGGTTTGGTGTAGTCCAGTGTGGAATGTATTATTATTACTAGTCCAAAGTCCAAAACAGAGTCTAAAAAGCCAAACTGTGCTAGCTAGATTTTGGAAGAAAAACTGCTACTGTACTATGATAGTAGCCACAGCACCCAAAGCCATTCTCACCAGTGCCTTTCACTGGAATGTGCCGCTTTGCATTGCATTCATATTTCCAAGTGAAGTCCCTCAAGTCAGGGTCATAGACTTGGGGCTGGTAAGGGCGTCTGAATTCAGTATCAGGAGGTCTCGGGACCAGCTTCCAATCTGGAGCAGCAACGACGACATCTCTTGATTCACCTGGAAAGGTTAAACAGCAAGGACACAATACATATAAGGATATAATAAGTTATTTTCTTTCTATGTAAAGAAGAGGAAGAAGAATGTGAAAAACAAATGGCTGTCAGCCATTTAACCTGGAATTCTGTACATGCACATGAAGCGTAAGCCTCATTACAGTACATTGATCATGAATAGCATTGAATTGTATAGAATTAAATAGAAAGGCATAAAATTGTACTGTTGGTCTCACACTCTCTTACAGCAGGCCATTCACCGACAGGAAAGAAGAATCTTCCTGGCACATTGCTTAAGGATATGTCATCCTGTTAAGGTCATGTCAGAAAGATGAATGACATGTGAATGAGTTGGCTGAAAAGTGTGAGATGAGACCCCTGAGATCAGCAGCATCTTTAAAAAGTCAACTTGGTATGTTGAATCTACAAATTCAGCTACTTTCTTACCACACAACCTGGCTCATAATTTGTTATTATGCAATTAGACACCATGTATGGAAATGATCAACTCCCAGAAATCCTGGCCAGCAGAGGTGGTGGTGAAAGCTTCTGGAAGTTGTAGTCCAAGAACATCTGGAGGCCCAAGGTTGGGGACCGCTGTTCTAGATTACAACCCCCAGAATTACCCAGCAGAGTTTGTAGCCCTGAACACAATATTGGAAAAGTAATTTTTTTTTGGATGACAGTTCCCTGAATCTTCTGGCCAACATGGCATTGCATGACATGCTGGCTGGAGGGTTCTGTAAGTTGTGGTCCAAAGGAGTAACTTAGAAAAATTTATAACAATTAATTAATTAAATGATTTTGCAATGGGAAAAATACAAAATAAATCAAATAAAGAGAAAAAAAAGGAAAGAGGACAGGAATTAACTGGAAGGGAAGGCCTGCCTATACATCCACGTTTTTATTTGGTTCTTAAAAGAACCCAGCCAGGGTGCAGCGCAAATCTCCGGAGGTAGGTTATTCCAGAGGCGAGGAGCCACCGCCAAGAAGGCCCG